ATATATATAATATATATATATATATATATGTTCAATTTGAGTTAAAAAGTCGGGCGTTACATCAATAAAAAGAGTATGAGAGTTTTTAGAAATTTATTTAAAATCCATACGTTTCGGCTAGCATCTTAGCCTTCATTCTGTGTGAACCAATTTAACTATAAAAATTAAAACTGAATAAATAATATTTAGAAATTTCATAGAAAAACAACAATAATAATAATAATAAACACAATTTTGTATCCTAATATAACATACTGAATGAAGGCTAAGGTGCTAACCGAAACGTATTGTTTTTAAATAAATTTCTACCCCGAATTTTTAACTCAAATTAAACATAATATATCAGCATCAGATTCAAGACTATTCAAATATATATATATATATATATATATATATATATATATATATATAATGCCAGAATTGTGATGTTATTAATCTAAAAATTTAAAATTAGCACGCGTCCTAATTATATATCAATTTGTTTTGTATACAACTGATTAAACATTTTTCAGCATTCAAAGTTACAATGTGCGTCTTATCATTATCTCTACGTATTTTTTTTAAATAATTATAACATTGTAAGAGTAACATTTACAATATTTCAAATAACGACCGATTTTTTTCCATAAAGTTCTGCTCATATCTTTGCTCGGGTCCATTTTTGTTTTCTTCGTATATGATTTTTTTTTGCTATCTAATTTCTCTCAATGATTATTTCCGCAGACAGTTACCCAATTAGTCCTTTGCGACATGAGCCAGACGTGATAAGGATTGTTAGATGCGTCTCATTTATATATGTAATAAAAATTCTAGCGACGCATAAAAATATAATTATAATTTATAATAGAACCTCTTTGTTAATTCTTTTCATCTGCGTTTTAATGTGAAAGAATAATTGATTCATATTCTTACTTATATTATCTTTTTTAACTTCCCTCTGATATGCCAATTTTATGATTTCTCGATCTTTCAAGGCATTCGGAATCATCGATACCAAAATTAGAAAAAGTATAAGTGTATATGTTTTATTATTTTTTACTATAGCGAAGGAAATGCCTTTATGCATCCCAGACTGGTCTTTTGTCTGGGTATGTCGGACACAATACCGCCCTGGTATAATACCGACTAAAATCTCCACTTTGCCCTTGTCTCTGGTCCTCACGGAAACCGCCGTTAGGCATTACTTCGTGGGGGGAGGATCTAGAATGTTATTATTCTTAACTTGATTTTATACTCATCTTTTAAAGTAATATGTGACATTTTATCGAGGTTCTCTAAGAAATGGCTGCACTGATTTCAACAATTTAAAAGCCATTCCATGAAACTCAATAAAGATTCGCGTCCATTAATTTTGTGTGACAATCGGCCCAACCGCAATTTTTTGTAATTAGCAGATAAGTGCAAAATTGTTCGTTCACGTTTTCGCCATAAATTCAGATTTTTTGAAAGATATCAGTTGGGACTCGTGCTGATTAGTTTTTGGTAAAGATCGGCCGTGTTGAGGTAATGCTTTTAACTATAATATTATAGGCCTACGAAATTGTAAAAATAAATGAAAGTTTCAAATTCTATTGCCAGAATTATAAGAGTTGCTAAATTTAACATCTTATCGATTAAGTCAATTATTAACAAATCGGGAATTTAGTTCGAACCTCTGCACAACCTGACATCGTGCGGCAGCGATGTCCATTTTCACTTGAAAATATAGATCAAAAATATGTTTCCAATTGGAATTAGCCCATAGTGAAATGGCAATGGGAAATCTCTCACAATATTCTTCCCTGAATCGAGTTGGATTTTAACTCAGCTCACGAACCTCCCCTAAGGCAGTAGGGGAGTATAAATTGTATAAATATATGAAATTAAAAATATATAAAAAAAAATTGTAAAAATATAAATATATAAAAAATTGTAAAATAGAGATAGGCTAACCATTGGGTTGCCTTCTGAAAAGCCAGATGATTAAAAAAAAATCATCACAACATCTTATGGAATTCTTAAATTTTGATCTGAATTTTAGAGTTCTATAAGATGTGATGATTTTTTTTAATCGCCAGGCTTTTCAGAAGGCAACTCAATGGTTAGCCTATATATATTTTACTTTTTTTTTTACACACATTTCTCTAATACTAAAGATTTTCAATTTGATGAGGTAATGCCGGGTAATAGCTATTTTCACTTGGAACAAACTATAATATTTATAGTTACTTCTCATTGCAATATTATTTTTTTTGGCAAAGAGATAGTCCTATCAAGTTTATAAAATTTTCTTCATAGTTTCAATTTTGTATTTTGCAAGAATGATGTATCATGTGTAATCAGATATAGTTTTTGTTTATTTTAAGATTAAGCATTTATCTCTAATCGATCATCTTTATCACAGTTATCTTAATTTCAAATCAAAACAACCGAATATTCAACATTTATTTATATTTACTAAACGATACTATTTTTGATATGAATACTTTTTGCCATTTCAAACATTCTAAATACATTACATGTTTTATGTATTGTTTACATAAACGACTATTGTTTATATAAATTAATGAGCTGGGTTTAAAATTTGCAATGATAAGCAAAAATCATTTCTATAAAGATATCACTGTTTTAGGAGAGATTTAATCAATGGTAATTGATATATATATATATATATATATATATATTTATATTTTTGAAGAAGAATCAATTGGTCAACGTATGACAATATTTGTGATGATATTAGGACAAAATCCAGCTGTAGCGAATTAAAACTAAATTTGAACTAATTTTTTGTGAATTTTAACTAGAAAACAGAGTACTGTTTTTCAATGAGAATTAATTAATTATAATTATATTTTAAAAATGATTTTTTATTCATAATATTTTTATCTTTGAAATATATTACAAGTTTGGGAACGATGTGGTATTGAAGTAAAAGTCAGAATGTTGAGTAATGAACCCAATGGCTTCATCAAGTAAAATAAACATAATATTATAGTGTTAATTATGCACTTCCTTGCACACATATTTGTTCAACAATGCGAACTATTTTTGTGTGTATATATGACATTGATTTCTTTCAAATACTTTTCCATTAATGACCTTAATTGACAAAATTTGGGTCAGGTGTTTTGCTAGATTTGGATCGCATTAAGAATAATTTTTAATTTGGTAATCATCACTTATTTAACATTGCAATTAGTTGTATTTGATAGAATACAATTTTTTTAAATGTGCTGAAAAATTGTTTGTAGAGTAGAATTAAATTCAATTTTTTTAAATAATGATAAACATTCTAAAATAGTTTCAAATACATAATATTTTACAGTACGATTGCTTTGAAAAAAATTCAGAATTTCCAAAATATTTCAAAATAAATTTTTCTTCAAAAAGTCTTTTTTTTTTTTCAAAAAAAAAGTAAGTTTTTGTCAAAAATTTCTAGTTCCTCAAAAATCTAATTTTTTCAGGAATCAATCATTTTCAATCTTTTTAAAAATAATAATTTTTGGTACGGGAAGTTCCAGCAATTTGCCTTAAGGCACGATGTCATGCGACCCACTAGTTTTACATTAATTTAATTAGTATCCACTTTTCATTATATGCGTTTTTTGCCCAGAAGATCTATATTGCCATACTATGATATTACTATTTTTTTATTCAAACTAATTACAAATAATATTTAATTTATTCTTTGCTATTAGGCAAATATTTTAAACATATTCCAAATTTTATTTTCAATACCTAATGACTAATAGTACACTAATTAAAATATTTACATATTTTATGTACTACCTACAATAAATTATTATTGTTATTAAAGAAAAGAAATTTTAAGAAATGTTTTTGTAAATTCTTGACATTGGTGAGATGATGGTTGATTTAATTTTTTTTTGCAAAATTTGCAAGGTATTCCAAGTGGAAATATGAAGTTAATCATTTTTTATTGGTAACCCATGAAAATTTTAAGTAAGTTGTAGGTAATATTTTACATTTTCAGTATTTTTATGGCAAAATGCAGCTGCTAGCTCGGATGACACTTTTGTATTATCAACACATGATATTACAATTCTGGTGGGTGATGTCGGTGCATTTAACTTAGAAGTCAGGTAAATCATTTAATTTAATTGAAATAATTTATTTTAATTTTTCAGTTTTTTATTATAATTTATTTATTTGATAATTATTTTATTATAATTATTTTATAACATAGCTCACCGATTAGCATGAGAAGGTATTAACCCTTTCCACTCGGATACCGAGGGTTAAAAATACTATTATAATAAGATTTAACTGTTAATACTAAATTATATCAAAACAAATTTAAACAAAAAACGTACAAGTTAAAATAGAAAAAAAATTCTTGTACATATGGTAATTAGTTATTTCATTGAAATATGATTGAATTTTAATTGATTGAATTTAAGTTAGAAATTACTGCTATAAGCGAATTCAAAAGAGTATTAGACTAAGGAATAAATTACTTGAAAAATATTAGAGTTCGTGAAGAGAATCTAGGAAAGTTAAAGGATAGCTGGTTAAAAATTTTAAAACAATCTATAGCATTGTTACAAGGTTTATTTTAGAATAAAATATTTTCAGTAAAACGACATATGACGAGAGATGATATGCTAAATTTTCATTTAGCAGCAAATTGTGATCAAAACCACGTTCGGGTTAAGTTTTGTGTGTTTCCAAATATAGATATTTCAAAAAAAGTTTTCTTCAGGTTTTTCTATCGATTTGGAATTATTATACCCTTATTTGTCATACGATACAACTTTCAATTTTACATATGAAAATACAAACAAAATATTTCCTTTCTATATCAATTCTACTACGACTTTAATGTTTATTTTATTTGTTTCTATTACTAATCATCATTTTCTTTCGAATTTGATGATTATTTTCATAATTCAAAACCACTGGAAATTACAGACGACAGTTAGTTCAACCTGTACAGGTGAACTTCTACGCTGAACACAAGAGTCTTCTCAGAATCAAACCAGCCGAATTGGAAGTCAGTGATCCTGGTTCCTATAATATTAGTTTGAAAGGAATAAATCCAGGATTCACTGTTATAACTTATAATGTTAGCCAGAATAATGAGAGGTAATAATAAGTTAATATTGATTAGTTGTAAATTTGCTAATTGTTTTTGTAATACTTTAAATAATCAATTGGATTTTACATGAGTTGCAGAAAATTATGGGAACAAAGAAGTGAAAATGCTTGTGCTGAATTTTGAACTTTTTTTGCAACGAACTATGAAATTTATATAGAAGAGTTTTAATGAATAATTAACAAAAGTATATCGCAGTCCACAAGAAAAGTGACACAAGTCAAAAAAGTTAAATTGTGTAGTAGAGTATAATTAAAGAACTTATAAATATTAGTTAAATGCAAATTGTAATGCAAAATAATTTTATATTAGATTGTCACTATTACATTGTTAATCAATTTTTATACTCGTAAAATCTTTATATACTTTCTATACTTATTGTTAGTTCAAATCGTTTATATTTTTAAAAGCTGTAGCTTTTCAAGGCCGCCGGCATGTTTGGACGTATTTTCGTTTTATTATATTGGCCATGAAGGCGACAATCTTCATGGCATTGAGCTTTTACACGGAATGGTTGCTACGCCTGGTAGCGGAGTGTTTTGATGGAAATAATTGTTCACTTCTAAAAGTAAAGTCCGCGAAACAACATGTTTATTCAATAAGAAATAATAAATTGCTTTTTCAGATCAACCCTAATTATTTCAAAATATGCGGTAGTGTTTTTGTGTGTATCGTGTTTTGTATGTATCATAGCATCCAAATTCCCCAAATCTTGGCATTGTAATTTTTCTGTAACTTTATTTGAGTTAATTTAATAATAAAAAATTGAAGTATCATTTTCAGAGTTAGAGATTAATCTAATTGGAATTTAGTAAGCACAAAAAGTGATTTTTATCATTTTTGAGTTGCATCACTTTTCTTGCGGAGGTGCCTGCATTTTTTGGTGGAGACTGTCCTCCTAAGGTCCACTCTTCTAAATTAATTCGCTTCTTTAGATTCCACCATTAATCTCATATATGTACTTTATTTCATATTTTTCAAATATGATAATATCATCAAATTTTTTCATAAATTTTTATTCCAATAGAAGTTCGAGAGGAGAACAACCGGATGATTTTATCCGGGTGATTGTGCAGCACTCCACCTCTCTCGGTCTACTGTCCGTTGTGGTCGGATGGATATATTTTATTGCCTGGTCGGTTTCATTTTACCCACAAATTTACTCGAATTTTAGAAGAAAGAGTGTTGTTGGACTGAATTTTGATTTTGTTGGTTTGAATCTTATTGGATTCTGCCTTTACACAGTATTCAATATCGGGCTTTACTTCGTACCCACGATTGAAGTAAGTCGCAGGGAAGTTGGATTATATTGTAATGTAAATTGTTTTAGTAAAAATTTAGTGGTATCTTCGATTTCTCCTTTGAAGCTCCAATGTAATAAGCAATTCTCAACTTTATGATAAGGTGAAATGGATGAAAGCACCATAAAAAATTGTATACCACATTTAGCGACCGATCCTGCCGCATAAGAGACAAATATTATGGCAAGGCCATATTACGCTTCAACTTCCATACATTATGCTACTGAATTATACTGAATACTGTCAAAATGTCATGAACCTTAGTCAGAAAGACCCCGTTATCTAACATCGTTTTTTTGACATTTGTGCGGTTTCTAGATTATGTTTTCTGTTTGACAACCTGAGAAAATCGCCTGACTGCACAGCAACCACATGGCTTTTGATAATATTTAGAACGAATTTGTATGAAAAGTTCTTCATAACATAGCCTTGCCATAACATTGGTCTGTTATTTGGCAGAATCGGTGCCTTAATCTTTGGTAACTCATATTTAACCTTCTATAGGCCTGCGTAACTTTCAGATCGCATTCCAAATTTTTCGTAATTTTACTAAATAATTACGGCTTTTTTCATGAGATGACGCATAAATCTTAATTTTAAAACTTTGTAAAGACAACCAGTATCAATATTTATTATGTTCTTTCTTCCGAGGCTTTCTTTTTTTTCTTTTTTCAACCTGAAATAACAATTTCATGCAAGAAGTGCATAAAAACATTGGCCGGTGTAACGTGGAAGTCACATAATTCATTAATACCAAAAAAATGGTTCAGAACATTTTTTTGTTTTACATTTGCATATATAGGTATTTACTACTTTTGGTTCTATTTTCCAAAAATTCGGTCTATAGAGGGTTAATATTTTATAATCATTATATAATCCATGTATTGGGATTAAAAATAGTCAGCAGATTTCAGAAACATTCACTTTTTTGTTTGAAAATTAATGTTGCGAATTAAATCAATATAATCCAACTTTTATATTAATACATATTTTTTAATAACAAATTGATTTGTAATTTATTATAATATTTCAGCAAGAGTATTTTGACAGGAATCCACGTGGTTTAAATCCTGTTCAAATAAATGATGTCGTATTTTCAGTACATGCTGCGCTTGCGACCTTTCTAACAATAATTCAATGTATTTTTTATGAGGTAATTTGGATATTTTATTTGAGTTTGTTGTTTTTACATAGGCAATTTTTGGAAATATAAGCACGGTTCATAAGTAAGTCCAATTTTGAGTTTAGATTTTTAGAAGATTAATCTTTCTCATGAAATCCTTCCTGGCTATGAAGACGCCATCAATTGTAGTTGGTGATATCAGTCAGTATCATGATTGTATTCATATTTAATTTTTTTACTATTTCATATACCGTGATTAGATTCCTAAAAAGGCTTATTGGCATTATTTGCCAATTGACCAATTTCTGTTAAACATGTAATACTTTTTTATCATTTTTTCAGAGAGGAAACCAAAGAGTATCAATAATAGGTTCTATTCTGATGGGAACATGTTTCATATTGGTGATAGTAAGCGGTTCTCTCGCCGCCAGTTATGTTATAGAGTGGCTAGACTTTTTATATTATTGTAGTTATATAAAATTAGGTATTACTTTAGTCAAATATATACCACAGGTAATTAATCTTTTTAGCAGAAATAATATATATAATAAATATAATTTATTTATATTTTTATATAAGGCATGATTATATTCAAAAACTTTGCAGGCATATATGAATTATAAAAGAAAGAGCACTGTTGGATGGAGTATAGGTAATATTTTCTTGGATTTTGCTGGTGGTTTGACTAGCATGTTGCAGATGATCATAAATGCCTACAATTATGGTAAATACTTGTATATATATATATATATATATATACATATACATACATATACATATATATTAATATTTACATACTGTACTAAATATAACTCAATAATCACTTTCTAAATATTTGAACTTGTGAATAAATTTAGATTCTGATTAGATCTATTGTGTGTGAAGCCAATTATGCACTAATTTATAATTTTATTAAAAACTGGATTATTAAATAATAAATTCATTCATTCATATTTATTTTTTTACAGATGATTGGATTTCAATATTTGGTGATCCTACTAAATTTGGATTGGGGCTATTTTCCGTCATTTTCGACATATTTTTCATGATACAGCATTACGTCCTTTATAGGTAACTTATTTAGCAAATAATAAAATATATTTACTAATATCACAATTTGTTAAAATTTTGGAAGTTAAATGTTGTTGCTGAAACTATAGGAGACAAATTTTGCTCGCCCATTAGCATATATATATATTTACTGTAAAATATAGATTTTACGAGCTTTATAGCTGATTAAGAAATAGCATTTCGTATATCTTTGTGAAAATAATCCTTAAATACATAAATTTTCACATTTTATTTCATTCCAGTTCTACAGAGAAATCAAAGCCCGAGACAATCAACACCATCTGATATTGCACTATTATTTATTTCCATTTTTATACATTTTTTATGTAAAACTCAAATAAATCATTTCCAATTCATTTGCATTTCACGTAATTTTTTATCAAAATAAAATGTATTGGGATATTGACATTGTGCATTTTTATTAGTTATTAATTTATTTTTATTCCAGGAATCCTAATTTGTACGACACTTTTAATAACGAGATTAATAGTGCTGTTGAAGCTACACCGTCAATAGAAGGCGAATGTATTAATTAGTCGTATAAATAGCATAGTATTATAAATAGTATTTACTTTATTATACGTATTTGCATTAATTTTAAATGTAGGAACAGTATCCGTGAAATTTTCGCATAGTATCACTCGAAATAAAGCATACTTACATAGAAATAAAAGTTTAGAGCGTTAGGAATTTCTTAGCCATACATCTTTTTGATAAGACTTCCTTGAGTTCTACATCATTTAAAGTAAGATTTACACAAATTTATAAAAATACTAAAATTATTTCTGAAAATTTTATAAAAATTCTTTAATACTTTATCTAAGAAATATTTGATGATGTTCAGTTTAGAAGATATTTGTTGAAATTCTTATTAAATTTTACTTTGATCTACCTCAATATTGTTCGACTGAATCATATTTACATTTTATAACAAACCCTTTAAACGATTTAACCCTTTCGCTACGAGCGTCATCTATAGTCGACAACCTGTGTGTACGAATGTCGCCTATAGTCGACATCTAACGTGTCGATTTTGCGAGTTAAAGTATTGCAAATTCTAATTTATTATTGTAACTTTTAGTTATTAAGAAGTGCATTTTTTAATTTTAAAATATAAAATACTTACGCAGCTTTCTGGCTCGTATACCAGAGTCACCAGAAAACAGCGACGTAGCGAAAAGGTTGAAGGAACAAAATATCACAAAATAATAATAATATAAATAAACTCATAACACCCTAGTATTCTTTTTTGACTATTAGTTATCCTAAAGACAATATGCCATCTTTTGATATCCTTTGTTAATTTATCTTCATTAATGCTCAAGGTTATATCTATATCTATATATATATATATATATATATATATATATATATATATATATATATATATATGGTATATATATGTATATATATATTAGGGTGGTCCTTAATATCTACATTTTCGAATTTTCTTGCTCCCAGGGGCTCAAATGCTTCCAAATTGATAAAAAAAATCCTCTATAAGTATTAGCTCGTAATATTGTCTTTTAGATAGTGCGCAATTTGATCAAAGTTTTGTTTGAGAGTAAGAGATTTTTTTTTCATCAATTTGAATGCATTCAAGCCCCTGGGAGCAAGGAAATTCGAAAATGCCCATATTAAGGACCACCCTAATGTATATACATACATACAAAAAATCTAAATCTTATAAATGTGTATATATATACGTACATACCACAAGAAACGAAACTATAATTTTGGAGATAACCGATTTTATTTTCACAATTTTATTGTTAATTATTGTATGATTTATTAATTACCAGAATAAAGTACTAATTTGAAAGAATACAGCGAAAATTTTGGCACTAGTTTCAATTTAGAAAAGACTAGATGGTATTGATTTAATAATTTAAGTTTTTGATGACTGTGAAGCAAATAAAGAAAAATGTTAAAATATTATATTAATATTATTATTACTATTATCACATGAAAAAATATTTTTATTAAATATCATATGCGTTTTATTTATTCACAATTGTTGTTTATTGTTAGTAGTAAAATAAAAAAACTATTGTGTATAATAGATATAAACTACATATGCAAATTATATGACCAACAGCTCGAATTGTTTTCTATTATTTTTACTACTACGCTTATCATGATAAAAGTGATAAAATATTAGTTTTACATTATGTCATGTTTTATTTTATTCTAATATATTTATAGTTATATTACTATTTTTATATTTTTATATATTTTATTTTATATAGACCATCAATGTTCGTCTAATGTACATGAAATTCATGTACCTGAGATAAAATTAATTTAGTTATTATATTATTAATTTTGTGAGTAAATCATGTTATATTATACAATATGTAATATATTTTAAAAGCATATCTAAATATACAATTTTATTATAATTTTGGTCGTATGATTTTATATTATCTAAAATAGTTAAAATAATTTTAAAATATTAATATATGTCTGCAGAATTACTATAAATATTTTTCAATTTCATAAGTGTAAAGAAAGATTTTACTTCACGTTATCTTATTCGTATTACTTTTATATAAATATTACTATCACTTGCTTATATGATAACAACAGGGGCGTAACTACAGTATCAATTATATTGGACCCCCGAGACACAAAGGCTCCCAATGTGCGTAAGCAAAAATTGATAAAAATTCAACGAATTTTCTATAGAGGCAGAAACCTTAGACATTCTGCAGCAGGGCTTCTTAAACTAAGGGTCGCGACCCCAAATGAGGTCGCGTGAGAAAATTCTGGCGTCGCGAGAGATTTTAATGTCAAATATTTATATCATTTTATAACATCATGTCTTGATTTTTTTATGTTGTCAACAAATTCTCAAATTATATATTTTCATATGTATATGTATATGTATATGTATATTGTTACCAAATAAATAAATCATTTAAAAATATTAATTTAATTTTTATAAGTGTGGGTTGTCAAGAAACTTGCAATCATAAGTGGGGTCGCCAAGAGCCTCGCAATCGTAAATGGGGTCGCAAAGGACAAAAGTTTAAGAAGCACTGTTCTAAAGTAATCATCAGGTATTAATTTGAGAAATTAGTTTGCGTAGAAAAGGCAAGAAGGTTGTATATTCATTTTAAAGTATTTTTGAAAAAAATAGAAAAAGTGATAATTATGACGATAATTTTAATTTGTGAGAAATTTTTACTCTTCCGAAAGATTTCCAAACTAATTTTTAAACAAGGGCCCGCCAAGGTACGCTGTTAATATCCTGATGTAAATATGCATCTACTCGAATGAGTGTAAATCTACTAAAATATTTGTAAATCCACCTGTGTGATTGCAAATTCACTAAAATTGTTGTAGTAAATCTACTACAACAGTGATTGTATTAAATCTACCATAGGTTTTCAATATATATATATATATATATATATATATATATATATATATATATATATATATATATACATATATAGCTATGACGGATTATACATAAAGCTATCAAAACAACGTATAATTTTCCTTATCTGTTTGTAACTTAAAGTATTTGTAAAAATATTTACTGTAGTTTCTTACACCAGATAATTTGTTTTACGTATACCGCATTTAAAAGCACATATATAAATAAATAAAAAAGTGTCATTTATAAATCAAATCAAAGTATATAATGTCATCACTCGGTTCAATATTTATTTTATATCAACGAATGAGGTATTTAAGAATGGAAACATTACATATGTACAATGTGTGAAATACTGGATGGCGACAAGGTAGCAGTAGTTGTTTCCAAAAGTTTCCCCATTGCAATTTTGCAATGATTTCTTAATTTTCACTTAGCAAATCGATATAGTATTCCTTAGGATTCATTCTGAACACATTTCGATGTTTTCAAATATCACAATTAATGATTCACACTGCATAAAAATTACAGGATGTGGATTATTTCAATATCTAATATGATTTTACAAAGTCTGCAAATTGGTTTGGCCGAGGCCGTCCCGGATTTCCATCTCATATCCAGGGTTTTCCGAAAAGCAATATTTGTCCCGGATTTTGATCTTTTGTCCTGGGTTTTTGAAATGTATAGGTTTAAACTGATTTTTCGCAGTTACTTGATAATAAAATTACAACGAAAAATTTACGAAAATTAGCAAAAATTAGCAAAAATTAGAAAACGAACTTTTCGATTGCGTGGCTCGAGTGTTTATTTTAACTAACAATAAGTTAATTATAAAGAACATGGTCCGAATTTTATATGAGGCATGAGGAATATATAGTTGAATAAAAAAGTCTTATTAGAAGTCAGTAATTCTGATTTAAAAAAATTAAGTCATTTTGAAAAAACTGATTATAATTGTATTCTTAAATATAATATTTGTTATTTTAAATCATATTTAAGTCATTTAGCATAAAGACGCCACCCCCTTTCCGGATTAGCATAACTATAAGTTACCGCCCCGAGTTTGACCTAAAAAAATATTGTCACCTTACACCTTAGGATATTCTATTTTTATCTATTTTATTATCCTGAAATATTAGTCGGTTCTTCAGTACCATTGTATTCAAAAAATTAAAAAATCCATTTAAAATGGCACCTTGATAAACCTTCAAGCCATTAGATACGGAACACCAAATTTAAATTATAAATTTAAGCTAATCTAATCAAACTCATATTTTTATTATTTAATAGTTATTCATTCATGCTGACTTCTACAAAAAACAGAAATTTTTTAAGCAATTTAATCCTACGGACATCTCGTGAGTTTCTTGCATTTACTATCATCGAAGTTTTAACTTGCGCCGCTACGTGGTTCGTGAATCAAGTTAACATCTAGAATGGATCATTTTATCACAGATTATTTAATTCGTTTTGATTTAAAAATTTAATATTTCATTTAATAAATTCACCGACTCCTTTAACAGTACTTTAAAATTAACTTCCGAAGAAAAAGTTTTTGTTTTTGCCAGAATATCGTTTATGCTTTCTCAAGTTTTTAAGTCATACTGAATCGTTTGACATCAAAATATAAGTATATGTGTGTGTATGTGAAGTAAAAATGAAAAAGTTATCTTTAAACCAGCAGCAGCCATTTCATTTGAATTGAAAAGCTATTTATTGAAACTTGATAAGGGCTCGCGTTGATTAGTTTTAGATTAGAGAGACGAGCGGCAGAGCCGTTTTTTATATTTAGCAGAGAATATAAAAAATAATAATAAGAGAAGTTTTTTTAATATTTAGCAAAAAAGTCTGAAAAATTGTGAATTGGCCAAAAATTCTAAACTGATTTTAAAATTGTAAA